AATTCAAAAGCAGCTGACATAGATGTTGCTTAATTCAGTAACAAATTCACATTTTGTCTATGTAGATAGGCCCTTAGAAGAGAAGAAAATGAAGTGGATTTCCATGTTCCTCAGATTTTCCCTCAGACCCCACCCACAAAAAGTCCCTGACATGCCAGGTGTGTGGCATATGCAAGGTTGCCCCATGCACCTGGAGTCACAGGTCAGGGCAGTTGTACCTGTATTCCCTCCTCTGTCATGCCTACCCTAGGCTCCTGACTCCTCAGCTCTCACCTCTTTTTCCAAGCTCCAGTTTGCTGCTTACACTGTGTAATGGCCCACAACAGTTATCAGTTACCACACTTATCCTCAAAGGAAAAGCATCACAGCGAAAACATACTGAAAACAATAAAACATACTTGAATGCTAAAAAGCTCAAAGGAGCCTCACCCAGACTCCAACTCTGGCACAAGTCAGTCCTTTAAACATACAACATGGTTTCCTTCCCCATGCTTACAAGCTCATGATGATCTCAGATTCACAGCCAGAACAACCAGCAATAGTTCAGTCTCTTCCTTTGGACAGTTTAGGGTTTGCTCTGAAGATCAGCAGCCAGGGGCCCACTCCTCAGAGCATAGCTTCAAAAGGTCAGGGGGAACAATTTGCATTAACCACCCGGTAGATATTCCAAGGAAAGATACTTCATGTGTTTTGTTTCAAGAGTGCGTTCTTGTTTGGCACATGGTTTAATGTAGTCCTTCGAACCTCCAGGTTTCATATCTGCCCCATCAAAAGGTTATGTACAATCCCAGGCCACAATGCATAAGCCATTAATTTAATACAGGGGACCACAAAGATACTCTAAGCTCTCCTAAGGATATTGCAGGGTATCTGCCACACCTTCCCCAGAGCCAGGTGAATACTGACCACAATTTCTACAAATACACCTTTTGGGGCCTTGAGGGGTTTTTTAATTCACTTTGGCTGTTTTATCCCTTTTGTGATCAATGTCTATGAATACTCTAGCAAAAGAATATTTGCTGAAAGAGAGAATTTTAAGGAAAAATTGAAGTATCTTCACAGGGTGAATTATGAACATGGGTACTCTAGCAAAAGAATATTTGCTGAAAGAAAGAATTTTAAGGAAAAATTGAAGCATCTTCACAGGGTGAATTATAAACATGGGTTTTCATACTATAAACCTGATTCGAACAAAGTTAGTCTTCTCAAATCAGGGAACACACAGGAGCGGCCGTAGACAAGCCGCCGGCAACTGGTGCCCTAGGCGAAACGTGCGATCGGTGCGCGATCGGTGCCCCCGTCTCCAAAGCCCTCAACAGCTGTTTTTCTTGGTGCCCTAGGCGACCATGTGGGTCGCCTGTATTGACGGGCCGCCACTGGGAACACATAGTCAGTATGTCGTACCAAAACTAACAAATGTTTCACGCTACAAGTTTTGAATATCTAATACTCCCAATTAGCAAGTGGCAAGCCATCTACACCTCTAGAATTATTTGCAATGTACAGTAAATAGTCACTAATAAAACATTTGATGACATAATGCTTGCGTTATGAAAACCCCCCTGCAGAAAGAGATTAAAGATACAAGTTATTTGCTTAACATCCACGCCAATGTTCCCCCAAAATCACTTTCTGAATGTAACTGTGTGCTAATCAGGAATTGACTTTGGATACAATTCTTGAGAGAAGGCAAGGTCTGAACTGGAATTCTGTGCTCATCTAGAACAGACTGTGGCGATGCACCGGCAGCACAGAGAGGAAGGCAATTTCTGTCCCTGCAATGACATGAAAAAGCAATCTCCATGGTAGAGCAGCAGATTCTGCTCTTTATAACAAAAAAAGGCTTCCACTCTGAATATGAAAAATGCAGAGGATGAACAGCCTCGTGGGAGAGGTAGCCAATTAAGTCACCCATGTGCCTTTCTGACCGTGGGCTGCCCGGTGGGCCCTTGAACAATTTTGAGAGCAGCTCAGCCAGCAGGGGCACCATTTTAGATTGTGGTAGGTGGGGTAATTTGAGCCATAATTCTGTTCCAGGCATTTAAGCACCTGAAAACTCCTGGGTTTTGTTGTTGTTTGCTTGTTGTTTGTATGCAGGAGATAACTTAGAAATTAACTGACAGGAGCAGTGTTCCTAATTCTTATAAAGAAAAAATATAACAAATACCAAGTAAAGCCACATATTAAGTTTAGTTGTAAATTTATATAACCCCAAGGAGATTACCTAGATTCCTGGGGCTCTGTCTGCTGGCAGTTCAGGGAGAGGCACACTGTCCCTGGTAGGTATGGGGAACCAAGGCAAACTTAGAGTCTGCCTGGCAACCAACAGGGAGTGAGATACCCTCCCAGGGAGTTCAGGAGGGGGGAGAAGCCATTTTATTTTTGGTGGAGCCTGGAGCGAGCCAAGGCAAGGGCAGGGCTGGCTGTGTGGGGAGCTGGTAAGCCCCAGGCCTACATGCAGGGTTCCCCCTGAGAACTGGCCTTTACGGACCCGAAAGCAAGATCCCTCAGCTGGGCTTTTCCTTTCTCCACTCTTGATTCCCAGTTTGTAGAGTTTGCTGGGAAACTTCCCCAGCCAGGCTGAGTTAGCCCTCCAGCTCCCTAGGTGAGAGCTCTGCTCTGTCTGCTAGTTCAGGGCTGCTGCCTGCTGTGTGTGTGTCTGGGCGCTGGGCTAGGAGACTACAGTTTGGATTTTAGTACAGTTGTGTAATCTGCACCTTGAGCCCTGCACCCGTTAGTGGTGAGGGGAAATCCTGGGACCGAAGCACCCTGATTCCTGCCTGAAGAGGATCCCTGCTAGCCAGGCCGGCCTGAGGCCGGCTGCGGCAGCTGGCGCCCCAAGCGGAAGATGCGATCAGCGCCCCCGCCTGCACAGCCATCAATGGCTGTAATGTAATCATCGGGTGCCCCGGGCTGGTGGCACCCTAGGCGACCACCTCGTCTGCTTTGGCTCATGGGCCGCCCCTGCTTCTAGTAGAGATCAGCCTCTGCAATGACTGAGGAGTCCAGAGTCATCTCTGAACCTGAGGATCATTCATAGAGTTTGTGAGCGCACCATCTTTTAGTCAGTCAGTCAGGAAATTTGTTTTGGGAACCCCCTACTCCCTGAACTGTGTCCTCAAATCAGGGAGTAAGGGTTTGGGGATTTTATAACCTGCTGCATATTAAATCTGTGGAGGGACTTACCACCTTCTCCCGATTCTGAGTCCTTTGGGCTGTACTGAACCCAGTCAGCCCCACTGCTAAAGAAGAATTTTGTGGTCATAGGTCATCAAGGGCCCAACAAAGTACACGTACCAACGGGACACTAATCTTACATTTGCTACATCAAGTCACATGACTGGGGCAAGTCACAGGTATTAGCAGCATGGGCACCAGTGAACCTATAAATAGTGCTTTACCCTGTTATGTTCTTTTTGTCTCCTGTTTAATATCATTATTGTGTTGAACATATTGTATGTGTTTGTGTTATTTCTTGGAAGTCTCCAACGATCTGGCAAGTAAGGAGGGATTACCCTGTGGTTAGAATTTTCCTCCCAAGCTGCCCTGGTGACCCTGCCAGGAAGGAGTGACGGGGGTGCAGCCACCGCCAAATAAATGCATGGGGAAAAATAAAGAGGATACACCCTGCTGAGTGGGTGGCGCGATCCAGAAGAACCCAGACCTGTCCATCAAAACCTGTAAGCAGACTAGCATTAAAGAAGGTAACTGGGTGGAGAGGGGGTGCTACATTTAGATCAGCAACAAGATACTTCCAATCCCAAATCTCGAGGTGTCAATTTTGGAACCATAACACAAGTTCGATACTTTGTATACTATCTTTAGTAGAAATAAAATCTGCTTAGCCTTGCAATTATTGCTATTTTTAAATGTCTTATGGTCCAAATTGTGATGAGGAGAAAAAGATAGTGAATTTCTTCCGAGAATCTTTAAAAATAAATAAATTACTGAAAAACAAACCACATTCCAGATTGAAAGGGGGTTCCTTGTGTGTTGCTCAGAGGATTTGTGAGTATTTGAGATGCTGCCACCCTCAGAAATATTAAAGAGTACGTAAACAGGAGCTAAGAAGACTTATCATGCCAGTTGGAAGAGAAGGATGTACAGAACAGCAGACACACCGCTATAAAATGTCTGGCTGCTTAGGGCAGCATTTGTTTGTATCTGCCCATGTAAAAAATCAGCAGCTCCTTAAAAAATTGTTTTGGGAAAAAGTCCTAGGATTAAAAAGTGCAATTGTAACCCTGCTGAGGAACCAACATTTGTGTGTAACAGCCTGTATGGTTCTACCTAGTAACTGGACCCAAAGCCCATTGTCATCAAAGAAAAGACTCCCACAGACAAATGGGACTAAATGGAAGAAAAGGTGGCCACCTTGGGGGATTGCCATTCCCTCCAAAAATTGGAGAGCTGGAAAGAGGGGAAGATTTAAGTGTAATTTAAACAATGTTTGTGGTATGACCTCATGTCTGTTTCCTGACAACAGGGAAAGATCCCCGGGGGTCATTCTTTAGCTCAGCTGTGCCTGCAATGAAACGCTAAAGCATCCAAAGCTGACTAATTTTAATGTGGATGGGACAGCCACCCTCTCCCCTGCCTGAGCAGCCCTATGTCTACTGGTGTCACAAGTGGCTTATTCCTCCCAGCCTTTGTAACATAGCAGCCTGGGAGGATGAGGGCAGACCATGATGAAATCTGCAGCAATCCTGTTCTGAGCACCCACCACTCCCTGAGCCTGATTGTCTCAATGAATTATTTTAAAAGTGCTGCAGAAGCTCCCAGCCCAGCTATTGGATCTGCCAGATACAGCCCTGCCTTCCTGGTGGTAGAGCAAAGAGCCAGCCAGGAGGAGAGGCCAGGAAGAGAAGAGTGAACTAACTAGCTTTTCAATCAGTAAGGTGGAGAAGGGGGGAAGGCCTGGAGAGGAACAGCAGCATAGGTAGCTTTTGGCTGGGTGGGGAGGGGAGGGGAAAAGAGCAAGCCAAGACAAGCCAGCAAGCTGTGTGGCTGTTCACCTTTGTGTTTTGCCTTTGCTGCTGCAGTTCTGTTTTTGACAAGATGGAACCAGTATCTCAGAAGCTTTTGTAGTACTTGATGAGCCTGCAGTCCTTTCATTCCAGTGAGGGAAGGGGAGAGGAGTAAACAAAGGAAGCTGCCTGCATTGCTCTTGCTCCTGGCTAGAGGGGAGGCAGGAGAAAGTGTCCTGCTAGAATAGGAACCGGGGGAAGGGGTAAGTCCCCCCCAGCTTGCCTTAAATAGTGTCCCTGTCAGCCACTGGGCTGAAGGAAAGAAGAACTATTTTAAATTTGTTCTGAGCAATGTTAACAGGAGCTGAAGAGAGACCCATCACTTATTTTGTGGCTGGAAGAATGACAGATGCAATTGGGGCCATGGAGGTTGAGAGGTAAAGTGAGAGCAACTATGGAAGGATCTTCAAGCTTCATCAGAGGTACAGGGGGGAGCTGGAAAAAGATTCAGTTAATTTTTTTAATCATTATTTTAGTCTGTCTGTTTAGACCAAAAAGAGACAAATCCACCAGTCACGCTTAACACAACAAGTGTTTTGTATCTCAAACAAGTTTACAGGCAGTCCCTGGGTTACATGGATCTGACTTACATCGGATCCCTACTTACAAACGGGGTGAGGCAACCCCGCACTAGCTGCTTCCCCCCA